TAATAAGTATGTATAATTAACCTTCGAAGCGCTGGAGTGCTGGTGGTCACTGATCCTGTGCCAAATACTCAGTGAGCAGAACCCTGAACGCCTTCATAAAGCGGCAACCCGATCGGGAAAATCTTGACCGCTGCCAAAAATTCGGCCTACGTTGCTGCCTAGTAGGGGGCGGCCCTGGAGAGAAATATGTCTGTCCCCTCGTTCAAGTTGACCCTTGCAACGATTTAAGTCCCTGTGGGGCTCATCAACGCTTTCACCTCCCCACTGTCTTCTTTCTCTTACCTGAATTCTAGTTGAATCATCAATCAACATTGTCGGCTTTCCAAAATGCACCACCTCCGTGATTCTCTGCTGAGCTCTCTGCCTAGAGACACTCCCACAACGGGCGACCATGCTCGTAGAGACCAGGAAAGTACACGCCAGTCTATCGCTCGGGGTGAATTCAAAGAGGTTCGAGACGTGGCCTTTAGTAACCGGACCTGGATCGTTACCAGCCGATACTGCGATATTGGAGATGGTGTAGATTCCCTTGATGGCTATATTCATTCCCTGTGGTATATGTACTATGAGCTTGGCCGAAACATCTCCTCCGAATCACCTGAACATGAAGGTATAGTCCTCGATATCCTCCGCATTCAAGGAATGGGGCCGTTGACTAGACCTGCACGCGGAGTCAATGGGATTGATATCGCAAGAACCGTCGACGGTACACTGTGGAACGATCTCCCCTTCTTGGTTGGCGATATGACTAGTTTCTGGGTCAATCACGGTGCTTCTATGTCCGGAACACACCGTCTCAATTTTGCAACATTCCTGGCTAAACTTGCATCCACTCGTGTCGCTAAGGATAGGCTGTGCCAAGTTGCCCTTCTGATCTTCCGTACTCTCTTTGAAAGCCCTCAAGCACTTCGCACTGGGGAAGAGTCCGACGAGGAAGACCTCAACCGAGGTACCAAGCAGCTTGAGGTCTTTCATCTGTTACCAGCTGCTGTTGCTTGGCTGAAAATAGCAGGCCACAACCTCCTTTTGCTATCAGAGGTGTATTGGAACGACTGCCCTAGCCAGATCAGCAAGGGTGGTGAGGAGTTCCTCGAATCGGAGCTCGGACAGCGATCACCTGCTGGATTCTCGCCATGGAGATACATGTTCTGGCTGAAGCGACTTCATGAGATTCAGGAAGAAGCTAAGGAGGCCAATGAGAACGTCCTGGAGGAGCTTGCCACTGATGGCATCCAGTACATGATCAACACAATCAAGCAAACGAATTCTGAGGTCCTCAGCGCTTACAAGAATGGTGGCGATGCCCTGCATCAGGATAAGCATCTCTCGTGCCTGAAGCCCCTTGCACGCGTTGAGGAGCCAGAGTCGTAAAGACTGGTTTCCATCCGTAACTTGGATAGCGAGCCACCGGTGAATCGCCCCCATCCAGAACCGCCACTATTCTGCGTCCCTGCCAAGGTGATGGTACTTTCTATTGGACTAGAGAAGCCAATAACCTGAGAAATACACCGATATCCTTAGTCATCTATACTGGGCACTTATAGTTAACTAGTTAGTTACGTGGTCACTGAGTAATCACCCTGTGCTGTGAGATACTAAGTGAGCAGGACCCTGAGCGCCCTCATAAAGCGGCACCCCGATCGGGAAAATCACGCCTAAAATCCGGTACATACTGGTACATCTGTAGGGTGCTGGACTTGATGCTGATACATAACTCCCTCTTTTGCATATGATATAGAGTTTATGGTTCATGGCAATAGCGATATGTACATACAGAGTACATAAATCCCACGTTGAACTCTTTCCCATTTTCCGGTCAGCACATCTACCCAGTGCCCGGGTTCGAAGTGCGTCAAGCAAATTAATGGCCTAGGCCTATCTTGTAGGAAGCCGCATGGGTGGGACCGAAACCTCTTGGCGCATCGCTACTGCAGGGCGTTTTTTTCATGGATAATTTCAATTCTAACCCTGGAGTGTAGCGTGCTAGTGCGTATGAAACTGGGAAGCTGATATGAGGGAGGAAGACCAAAAAACACGGAAATTTGATCAGATCCGGACCTGAGGAGGAATTTAAACCATATTTATGGCAACCAGGTGGGCACCTTGGGAAAATCCCCGTTTTTCGGGCGCCTCCGGGCCGCTCCAGGGCTGAATCATGAACAGTCACAAGCCACCAAATGCCATACACAGGTACTTCCTATTTCGTTATTGGACCGAGACCCACACGTCGGTGCTCTTGCTCCCAAAACTGTCCTCTGCGGGGTCTCGCTACGAAGCCTATCATCAAATCTGAATAGCTAATAATAATCTGTTGGCTATACTATCATTGTTCATCTTAAGCCTTCTAAATCAAAGAGACTATCTGATGTATATATCTTCCGTTCCAGGGCCTAATACAGAGTCATCTAAGTCTATTGCTATCCGCCCAGGAGATATAATAGGAGTTTGCGGGAACTGAGCAGATACCATCCGAAGAAAGCCTCCCGGTTTTAGAAGCCTCCGCATTAATTATGCAGCCAAAGGAAGCAATTAAAACACCTCTACCCCGGCTACGCGCATGCAGAGAATCGCCTTTATAGCCCCATACACGGCTCCCCCGAGGATCCTCGGACATAGAAGGGGATATATCCAAAAAGGTCGAGATAGCTCATTGTTTTGGTGAAGATAAATTCACAGAAATCTATTCCATACAAATGAGCGCTATACTAAGCGCATTTACTCCGTATATCACTCCTTGCCAACACGAAAACCCACAGCCTCCGGTTTATCACACTAAAGACAGTATCCACATGTCCCCTGTGAACTCGCAAGTCAATACCCCTGCATGCCCTCCTACGTAGCGCCCGTCTCAACGCACGGTATGTGCTCTGTAAAATTTTAATCCTCAAATCTCAGTTACGCGCCCATTAAACTATGCCAAGGCCCTCTAGCTAGTGACCAAATGACGCTCGCATTTCGCTTTCTACAGCCACCTATCACTCGCCATAATTTGCGAGTATATTATTTCCCATTCTTTCCATCATACTGCAGAGCCGCTCTTCAGGATGGCCCCCTATGCTATGGAATATATCTTCTGTTGGCTGCTCGCCACCGCAGTCATAGTGCATGCAGATGGTATTCCTTGGACAATGTTATGGTCTGATCAAACCTATGGTCCAGATGGCCCATGGCACGCCGTGTCAGTTGAATTGGGATCCAAAAACCAGCCCATTGATCTCTACCCAGGCGACCGATGGGCTAGTACCATTCTTCTCGACACCGTCTGCTCAGACAACTCAACTCCCTGTTATGCAAAACGAGCTGGTCGCTTCGACATAAACGCCTCAACATCTGCCGTCACCTTGAACACGCCGACCGACCCGAGCCAGATAACATGGCTGTCCGATCAGAGCAGTGCCGGCGTGAATAAATGGGGTGGTACCGGATATGTCAAAGAAGGGGTTCTCGCCGACACGATCAGGTTGCAAAATGGACATACAATACCAAATGTTTCTATGGCGTCTATCTACGATGCTTACCAAGAATACCCGAATGGAAAACAATACCCTGTTTCTGTGGGGACCTTGTCGCTGGGAGGTCCGAAGCCTATCCACGTAGTGCAGGGGAACAAGTTCAATTTGTTATCTGCTTGGGAGCACTGGAACGATTCTTCCTCTGATCGTATCCCCTCATACTCATGGGGGATGCACATTGGGTCTGTGGAACCTGACATTCCAGGCTCACTGATGCTTGGCGGGTATGATCAAAGCCGAGTGTTGGATCAAGTAAGCTCTCAGCAGGTTGATGCTACGAACCATCTCGGCAATCTTAGGATTTATCTCAAAGACATCGGGATAGGAGTTGCCACGGGGGGATCTCCATTTGGCTTTGAGAATAAATCCGGGCTGTTCAAGTGGGGAGACAGTATCACCAGCAGGGCGAAAACAGTGGAGATCGATCCTACACTTCCATACCTCTACCTTCCTAAACAGACCTGTGATACAATGGCAGCGGAGCTCCCGGTTACCTTTAACGAAGGTCTGGGTCTATATTTCTGGAACACACACGACGAAAGCTACGAGAAAATAACATCCTCCCCGGCATATATGTCCTTCACATTTGAGAAGAATGCGACAAACACTCAAAATATCACCATAAAAGTTCCTTTCCAACTTCTAAAGCTTACCCTTCAAGAGCCACTAGTGGAAGAGAACACAACCTACTTCCCATGCTATCCCTCCGACTCCTTCGTCCTCGGCAGAGCTTTCCTTCAAGCAGCCTTTATTGGCACAAACTGGCAAGAGGGCATTGGAGGCGGTTACTGGTTTTTGGCACAAGCACCTGGGCCGGCGATCGGATCAGGTGTTCAGCAGAGTATTGGGATTAGTGACACCTCAATCCAGGCTTCAGCCAATTCATGGAAAGACAGCTGGGACGGGTATTGGGTACCTCTTTCGTCGAAGAACTCTAACTCGAGTCTCTCAACTGGGTCAACTGGTATTGGCAGCTCCAACTCTGGTCTCTCAACTGGGGCAAAGGTTGGCATTGGTATTGGATGTGCTATTGGTGGCTTGGTGTTGATTGGGATGGTTGCTTGGGCGATCATCTCTCGTCGAAAGCGAGCAACGAATTCGCGACCTGGGACCATGGATGAATATAGCATTGCACCGAGTCCAGCTGAAAAGGAGACGCCACTTCAAGTGAACGAGTTGTATACTCATCATCCAAGTGACCTGCGGTCAGATATGGATATTCAAGAGGCACCGGGGTCTACTACGATCCGCCACGAACTTGTGTGATATTTTGAGCTACAACCTTGTTGGATGGCTCTCTCCCTCTCTCCTTCCTCTTCTCCTTTCTCTTCCTCTTTTCGTCCATCTGTTCTTTTGATGGTGCATGCACATATGTTCTTTCTCATAGAGATCTTTCATCTAGTGCCATTCTCTAGAAAACTTGAACAAGGAAGAGTGTATGTATATAATTTAAATAGATGAATTAATTCCCCGCGATCCCTGTCATGTATGACACCTATCCAGAATAAAATAGTCACCAGTGGCGCGAACAGTTTGTAGGAAGCTTTCGCGTATGTGAGGGCCCGCGAGAAAAGACTCTGAGCCGCTCGAGTACCCAAGACATGGTCTCTATCTATCCAAGTCTTCAAAAAGGTCATTTCTAGCTCCCCGAAATACTCAAGACATCTTTAACAAGTCAATAGATTTCCTTTCAACCTTGCTCGGATGGCATCTGGCTACAGGCTCGACGGATATGTCTGTTCCGATCGCTTTTCTCGATTGGGTGCGTACGGGCCGAGAGTAATACCACCCACGCCGCCTCCGCCTCTAGGTCAATTGGAACGAGATCAACTGTGAATCACTTCAGTCACGGTGCTTAAGGAGGAATGCCCTAATATATCTGCCTAAACGAGATCAATTAGCGCTCCTGCACACCCTACCAGTCTGCTCTCGCTTTTCTGCACGCATCCTCCCTCGCGATCGACCTGCCTCTTTGCCGCATAGCTTGTAGTACGAACCACGGTCAGCTATCATCCCACGTGCGTGGCATGACATGGAATGGACCGATAACCTTAGACAGAATGACCGGTTTCTTGTCATAGAGCTGTCGTTACACTCCCGTGGCGAGTATGAGGTCTTCCTCTTAGTTCATATCAAAGATGAGAGCATCCCCATCTATACAGATAATTCCCAGGTTTTGAAGGAGGTCGAAGCTCAGTTTATCCCACGCGAACTCTTGGGCCTGGCGGTTCTTTTCAATGAACGACACGTTAGAGTCATGGTATCCTAGGGATAGCAACGTCGAAGGAAACTGTCCGACCGACGCGTAAGCCTCTAGCTGATTGGAGTGAAATGCCCAGTGCCAGGACGATGAAATCCGGAGAGGAACAAGAAATATTCACACAAACAATGCGCAAGGTAGACTAGGTTTTCTTCTGCGAGAGTAAACCCCTTTGGTATTGGCATTATTGGGGGCTGGGTCGGCTCGGCCCCATACGATGTACAGTACGGAGTACGGAGTATGAAAGTACAAATTGGCAATGCCTCAAAGATTTTTGTGAGAAAAGAGTAAGAGACTTGAATATCACTTAAGGATCTTCAATCAAGACAGTGGGGCTGAGAGCGTAGCGGCAGTGCGTGGGTGAACCAAGTTGTGCCGGGCTCTAAATGACCATATCACAAATGCCAATTGTTATCGAGTACGGAGTACAATAATGGCAGTCCGGACATTACTCCGTTGTACTCCATTGTGGTGCTTATCTAGAGCCAAGTAGTGTCTTGGCTGTGAAAGCCATTTGGACAGGAATTAGCACACGGGTAGAGGACGCGCGGATGTGGGGACCGGAGGAATCAGAGACGAGTGAGAAGACGGGATCATTGCTTAGGAGGTCTTGGCATTGGCAGAGCTGTACTCCTGTACTCTGTGCTCTGTACCTTGGTACACTCCTTTTGAGAGTTGGCTACCCATCATATTGGATAGTACCAGAATGGAGTAATGGTCATAGAACCGTGTTGTCCCTTTTATCCTTTTATCAGCTACCTCCAGGACTGGATATAATTTCCCTTGAAGTTACAGTGGGAACCAAATCCTACTACACGAGGGCACGTGACTTCCGCCAAATGGATCCCTTCAACGTCATTGATCGTCTCTCAGGCCCCTTGGAGAATTGTCCCTGGCCATTTTTCATACCATGGAACCATGATCTTCCTTTAACCCTTGTGTTCCCGTTCTTTTCACTTTCTTCTCCTTCTTCTTCTTCGTCTTCCTCTTACCCTTCTCCACCCCCCCCCCAAAACCACCTGGGCATACTTATATAACACTTTCATTCGCCTGCGACCGTGGGCCCTTGATTGTGTTCTAGACCCAATTCTTGTCTCCGCAATGCGGTAGAACCCGACACAATCTCACAACACAAAATATGATATTCAACGCCCGAGATGGGTCTGTTCCCGGGGCGTCATGGGCCTGGAAAAAGGTGGTGCGGTTTGGAGTTGTCTTCCTGTTCGTGGTAGGATTTGCCACCGTATTATGGCCTTCGGTCGAGCCAGTGAAGCTGCCGCTGCAGACAGCTGCCAACATCACCCTCGCCCCCGATGTCTCGTGCGATCTCGATTACGATAAATTGGCATCCATGGACGTTCTCAAAGTCGCCCAATACACCCGTCGAGAAATCATAATCAATATGACGGACGAGCCAGTGCCCTACACGCAGTGGCTTGAACAGCCATTCTTGGAAGTACCAAGGGGTACTGAGGCGGACGGGTGCTCAATTCCCACACCAGTGACCTTGCGGGTCCCCAAGCCGCCGAAATTGGCGGACGCGTCACACATTGATTTTGGAGTCGCGACCAGTGTCGAGAGATTGAATGAGTCTCTGAATGCATTCGCTCACTGGGCTGGATACTCGCGCAGTCGCATTTTCGCACTGATCGAACCGGATCACTCGGAAAACGGAGTCCGGGATGTCTTAGCCAAGGCCGACTCTCTAGGGGTCAACCTCCACATCACAGAGGCGGAAGATGACTACCTCAACCGATACTTCGCACTTATCCCTCTTTTGAAGGAGAATGCTCGGGAATCAACCCGATGGGGCTGTATTATCGACGACGACACATTCTTCATGTCCATGCCCAGACTGGTGGATGCACTCGCTAAATACGACCACACCACCTCCATGTATATTGGCGGATTGTCGGAGTCTGTTCCGCAGATTGCGGCATTCGGAATGATTGGGTTTGGAGGCGCGGGCGTCTTCTTGTCGAAACCCCTCTTGGACGAAATTACCAACGTCTATGACAAGTGCTCTGCGATGGACTTCTCAGGCGATCGCCGCATCGCCATCTGCGTCTACCGCTACACCCAGACCCGGCTGACAGTGGACCACCGCCTGCGGCAATTGGACCTGATGCATGACGCCTCTGGATTCTTCGAGTCCGGCCGCGAGCCCCCACTCACAGTGCACCACTGGAAGTCCTGGTTCCACGCCGACATGCCGAAGCTAGCGGTGGTTGCCGAGCTATGCGGCGACAGCTGCCTCCTCCGCAAGTGGCACTTTGGCGACGGCTGGATCCTGACGAACGGGTTTTCGGTCATCAAGTATCACGCCGACCCAGACCAGGACGACATCGCCATGGAGCAGACCTGGGACTCCCACAATGGCGCCAATGACGAATCTTACCTGCACGAATTGGGTCCCCTCCGCCGCAAGGATGAGCACAAAAGGTCCTTCCAGTTGCAGGATGCCGTCCACGAGAACGACCGTGTCACTCAGTGGTATGTCATGCGCGATGAGAAGAATGGTGATCAAATCTTGGAGCTGTCATGGCGCAAGGGATAAATATTGTTTTGTTTCGCCTCGTACATGTACACCACGTGTACGGGTGGGCTCCTTTTTATGGTCTCCGGGCCCCGGCGGTCTGCTGGATCAATAAGCCCTCTTTCAGGCGCATGGGCGCATGGGTAAAGGAATGCCACTTTGCATGGAGTTTCGTTTCGTTTCGTTGTTTATAGATGATAGATACAACTTCTGTCCACTCTAATGAGTTGAATAATGTGATATGGAAGTTTTGGATTACCTCTTATGCTTCAAAATTGTAGCTGTTGAACATATAGTTCCGAGGAACGATCTTCTCGAGTACTCCGTAGGCTGCTTGGTCTTGATGGGTCTCGACTGACTGTTCCAGCACAGACACAGACAGTTTTGGTTCGGATTTGGGTAACGGCTTCATCATTCGCACTCGCACTGATCTACTCATTTGAGCCTTTCCAATATAAGAGTAGGTACAGATATCTGCAAAGCACAGATTTAAATATCTGTAGAGGACAGTGATGGTGGATATGCAGATAAAGCAAAGAGCAAGGAAGAAGAAAGCGGACAGGTGGGTATGACCCGCCTATCTACCATGGCAAGCAAGGCTGCCAAATTTCTAGAGGCCATAGCTCACCGATAGACATTATGCCGTACCATGGAACTGATGAATAACCCACCTGGGCAGTCCCTTGCATATCCCCATGTGGATATGGATACTTCTTGGTCTTTTATGACTAGCGTATAGGCAGGTGCCAAACATGTGGTTTGCAGTTTTTTATCTTCTCTACAGCGCTACTCAATATATATATTTTCAAGAACCAGTTCCCCAACATTGATCAGGCTTGTTAAACCCCACAACTAAAACAATAGACTAAAACAAAGCACCCAAGATGCCATAGATACATATGCATATTCTATATGCCAGCCTAGAGCTACAAAATCGAGAAATAAACACAACCCCTCTCGCGGATTTATTCCTCAAATTCGCGAACACACGGGGTACTATCTGACCACTATTTATCGGAGATAATAACGGCTTGTAGTAAAATTTAGTACGAAGTACTCCGTACGGAATAGGGGAATACCGTGGCCCAGCGAAGATCCTATGGAACCCCTGAAGATCGATCGGCGTTGAATGTCGATCGAGATACCACAATATAACGGATGTGAGACCAAGTGGAGTAAGAAGTAAGCAGTAGGCAGTAAGCAGTTAGGACTATGTTGTAGGGTAATTCGGTGCAAGTTAATCATCAAGGACAGTGGGAAACGGAGACTGCCTATTGACAGTGACCGACAACCTGGATCAAGATCCATCAAACAGAACCACATACGCAAAGTTGAGTATTCGGAGGGCAGTGAAGACTAGAATAAGAGATGTGATTTAAAGCCGTGCTGTTTCAGTCTACATCGCCCGTATCTATCTACAACACATTTCCTTTATACGGAGTCAGCTCTCAGTGGAGCATGGGGCATATTGTGCAACGCAATGCTTTAGGGTCATCTGCATTAGCTTCTGCGCCACCTGTTTAGTACGGAGTATATTTGGATGTTACCAGGGATAGCAGATTTTCTGCAGTTAGACTGGCGCAGCAGGCTGAGACGAGCTAGTGTTGACTTATCTGTGACTATTTACCTTGGTGTGATGAGTTAGGCACATCAGTGGGCCAGTGCTCAATTTCCCCGGGAGAAAGGTGACATCAGAGTGGAATCTGCGACAGAAGAAACAGAAAAATGGGCCTTTTGGTCATAGCGTCAGCGGCTGTTCCTGGATTTTGTGGATATTAATTTTTTCTCTTGGTATATGTAACTATCTGCTTACGTCTGGTTATGTAGGTTGTACAACAAAATAGGGCGTGTCTGATATTCTAAGGTCGATATGCAAGAGTTACACCCCTATGCGCCCCGGGGAGGTAAAATTCCACCTAATTTGTCAGAAACCAACCTAGCAGCCATAAAACACACCAAAACTGACCTGTACACGACATGCTCCATCCCAGGGGCAGCCTACAGGCTGAAGGAAATGTTCTACTAATAGAAATATGGAGACTAGCGCGGACATGATACACCAAGACACGTCTCAGCCACAACCATGTGGGAATCGCCCCGTGTCCATCCAATGTGCGTCGGCCTAACCCGCCTTCGGTTTCTGTTTATTGGCGATTGCCCAAAAATCAAGGAAAATAGTCAACGGCGAACTATAATAAATCATCTCGCCAGTCATTGGTTCATCAAATCCCTAAAATGCCAGCACCGTGTTTCTTCGGCTTTCCACGGATCCGCATGGTATTTACAAAGTATTGTAGAGGGGAGATAATCTCCGCAACTCCCCGCAGGACCCGGGTTGAGACCAAACCTGGTAAGTGCAGTATGCAGGATGATGGGTGTCGTCACTTTCGTCACGGGCGCCAGGGTGTGCGTTAGCTTGGTGAGGGGCTGAGAACGGTAGGTGTGTGAGAGAGAGAGAGCGTTAGAGGATAGACGGTACACCAATGAAGAGGAATAGCCCTGAAAAGTCACCTGGGCAGGAGATGACTCGACCAGTCATCCTGGTGCCCAACCCCCCCCTTTTTTTATGTTTTATTTTATTTTGTTTCTAGGCAGATACATGTTGGGCTCTGTTTATTTTTTTCTACATTAATCCCTCGATGTGAAGGGTATAGTGCACAGGCTCAGAGAGGATCTCCTGGTAAGGCTCCGAACCGTGCGCAGGATGGGGGCCGCGCATGTCTTTTTTTCTTCTTTCACGGCTTCCACGGCTTCTACGGATGTTCCAAAATCCTTCTGGCGGCCTTCTGGAAGGTAAGGAGAAGGCTTGGCAGAGCCATCCGTGCCGTCTTTTGTGGCAGTGGAGTGGGTTCCCAGAGGCTGAAGCCAGCCGGTGCCTTCTAGTGCCCCCGGAAGGGAAAAGGGGCGAATGAGATGGGTATGGGTAATTACCGATGCAGACCGGATTAGCTCCACTGCAGGATTGTCAGAGTCCAGGCACCTAAGAAACCTAAGAAAAGAAGAGGGGAAACAGAAGGGTGAGAATAGAAAGTCGAAGTGAGTTCGTCCTACCAACAGTGTAACCCATATATGCTGCGTGAGGTACGGAGTACAGGAAAGGTTACCATCGTGATAGTGGAAACCTTCTAGAAGGTCAATCTCGATTTTGCGATGTATTCGGCTAACAATAGTCGGGGTAGACTATCGAGGTAATCTCCTTCAGATCGTATAAAAATAAGTATATCACTCAATGTGTCGCACCATGCGAAACCTGCATGTCGCCGTTGATCACCGAGGTCTCCTGTTTCTTTTTTTTTTTCGGCTTTTTTTTTTCTTTCTTATTTTTCCCTTTGTGTTTTTATCGCAAAATCCGGCAGATGAGAAATGCATGTATTTTCTTTTTAGCTTCAGGGGTCATAGTTCGGGCCCCCTTTCATACTGTGTGTATGGGACTTTATTAACGCCTACATTAGTTCCCTGTTAGTCTGATCCTATCCTTAGTTAGGGGCATGGTCTGGGGAATAAACGTCATACTACAGGGTGTTCCAGAGATAAATTTCAGGAGGCTATATCAAGGATAATAATAAGGAAATTCAGGTTCGGATCGGCCTTTCGTATCCATTTTCGCACGGGGAGAAGGGCACGTTGTGGATCCTTCTGGTGCGGCCAGGTTTCCTTCTAGCGGGCTTCGCTGGGTCCGACTAGGAGAACTAGCCCTTCTAGAAAGGGAGTTGAGTTTAGGAGAGGGTGGATGTGTGTTATATAGGAGTATACCTAGGTAACCTTGGAATGGCTACTCCGTATATTATTGTATACTCTGTATGGTAGTTGGAATATCTATATAAAAAGGAAGATTTTGAAACTGAGATAATAATACACTAAAACAATACTGAATAAATAACCAAAACCAAAATAACAAAGTAAATAAATATGATGTACGAAGATGCAGACAGTGGCACCTACCACACCTAAATCACCTAAATATGTAATAATCATATTTCCTATTTCTCCCCCCCCCCCTTTCTCATCCTCTACTCTTTAACCCTTCGCTTTCCTTTCTTCTTTTCTTCAATCTTCTTATCTCTTTGTCTCTCTACCTATTTCCCCTAACCCCACTTAAACCGGTCTGCGCGAATTCCTAATTCCCTCGAACCTCTTTCTTTCGCCCTCGACTCTGCTCTATCTTGGACCCTTGAGCTTCCATCAAAAAGGTGTGTTTTTGCTTCACTCCTTACCTTCACCGCGATTTGCCAGTGATGACGCATCTCGCCGATTCACCTTGGCTGCCCAACCCTCTTCGCCTGCGCTGTCATCTTGGGTTTCGTGAACACGGACAATTTCCCCATATGTGTTTGTCTCGCAGTCTTTTATCGTTTCCCTGGAACTCAGCGTGTGTGACTGGTCTCCCTGACCGAGGACCGCGGCGCGAGAAGATAACGAGCTCACACCACTGTGGTGGAAATAAGTCGGAATCGCAACCATCGTCTTGATATTCGTTTCATGCTGACCATCGACTTTTTTTTCGCATAGGAACCTTCACAGGGATAGTAGACCTATCTATCCTTTCTCCGCCTTCACCGATAAACGATCACGCGTTCCGCCTTTAGCCGACCACAACATCATTCTCTGAGGCGAGCTTGGCTTTCTGGCAGAAAGCCCATCGTTCGATACCTCTTACGCAACCTTGCATTCCACTGCAGAAAAGTGGAGAATTTACCCCGTCCCATTCTTCGCTGAGCGACTGTCCACGACACAACGTGTAATACAGGTTCACCTAGGGTGAGTTTCTGGTCTAAGGTCTTCCCACGAGCTGCGCACTCGCGGAGTTTTTTTGCAGAATCGAGCTCGATTTACTACACCAGAAACTGGTTCTGACTATATCGCGACTTGCAGAGCTTGCTAGTTGTGACCCGAATCTCCCACCCAACGGCTTCAACCCTTCATATCAACCAGTCCCCACGCGTAAAGGACTTCGAATTCAATAAGCTATCGGACTCCGTCGGAATACTGGTCGCGGAAGGTCTGCCGAAGGACGTCTTCGAAAGCAGTCCTTGACCGCAGTCCCTTGACTACTTGCTGGGTCGGGTCATGGACTTCACGACCATCCTGAACAGGAAAAACTCCGCTGCAGCCGCCGCCGCCGCCGAAGCGCAGTTACAACAACAGTACTTTCAACAGAGTGCACAGTTACACACCGGAGCTTCGCCCACCATGAAGAGCGAATCAGGTGGCTCGGACAACCCTGTCAACGCATACCCTCCTCACGGTCCCCCGCCCATGCAAATGGATACTGGACTTCCCGATTCCTTCTATTATGCACAGCCCACGGGCTCAACCCCTCGAAACATGGCCTACCCTCCTGCGGGATACGCTGGCGATCCCCAGATGCAGCAGGAACCTGTCCCACAGGGAAGGACAGGAATTGAACCACCACCAAAGACTTTCCACTGCTCAACCTGCAACAAGGGCTTCGCACGGCGTAGTGACCTTGCTCGGCATGGTATGTATTCTTTAGAAATTTGGGAGATGCGGCCACTAACAATTTATTAGAGCGGATTCATACCGGAGTTAGACCCCACGCCTGCGAGTGGCCGGGGTGTGGAAAGCAGTTCATTCAACGCTCGGCTTTGACAGTACACTCCCGTGTACACACCGGAGAGAAGCCTCATATGTGTGAGAGATGTGGCAAGGTGTGTATCTTTCCTCTTTTTTGTTCTGGCTAAATCTAACATTTATTCAGCCCTTTAGCGACTCGTCTTCGCTGGCCAGACATCGCCGCATCCACTCCGGCAAGCGACCCTACAAATGCCCGTACGCCAACTGTCAGAAGACCTTCACGCGTCGTACAACGTTGACACGCCACCAAAATCACCATACCGGGACCATCGAAGAAGCCGCTGCTGAAACCGAGGCCCAGTTGCGACAAAATAAGGATCGTGGACGCCCTGGCGAAGGAATGTTTTCCGAGCACGCTTCCATTCATTCTACACCGTCACCTGCACAGCACCCGTCCATGTCGCCTGGTGGTGAGCTCCCGCCGCTGAACATGCACCGCTCTGCCGGCGACTACTACATGGGCACTGGTCCTATCCCGCCTCATGTGCGCGGAGATTTCCCCCAAGGTAGCCCCCGGGCTTCCCCGACTGCGACCTCTCCTTCGCTGTCCAGCTACGGCAGTGCGCCCCACGCCCGGCCATCCATGACCTCGCATCCCTACGCTCCGCCTCAACCTCTTGAGCCCCCGGCCAACAGTGATCACCGTCCCAATAGCGTGAATGGCAGTCCACACATGACTAGTCTTGGATGGGCCTCGCCGTCTCACGGTAGCATGCCATCCCCCGGATCGGCCAACGATTTCACTTACCCTGAACCCACTGGCCCCGCGTACCCGACATCGATGCCACCGCACATGTACTTCCCAAACTCTACCATTCGTCGGCCTACCAGCACCGAGCCGGAGAACTACGAAATGAAGCCCCGAGGTGACCACTCATGGTCCACTGCTGTATGATGCGATTCACAACCCATACAAGTGTCTCGCAACAGCTTGAATTTTTCCATTATTTCCTTTGTTTAATAACTTCATTGCATAAGCCCCTTGATTCCCACGAGAGAATACATCTGTGCCTCTCGATTGATTTCTTATTTCCTTTGTTTTCATGCATTTTCTTCTCTGTTTGTACTTATATTGATGGGAAACCAGCGCACTGGAAGGAGTCGGACGGTCTGATCGTGTTTCCAAATCTGCGATTTATTGTTTTGTTTCAAGATGTCATCTCGCCCTTGCCACCCCCCCCCCCCCCCCCCCCCCCCAAATTTTCTTTTGTTAAATGCTTGCGGATGACATTACCGAGACACGATCAGATGAGGAACTGCATCCATGGAATAGATAGAGGGTTGGATTAAGGATTGTCTTGGGTATGGATGGGTTCAGGAAATGGTCTGGGTTTGTTTCAGGGAGACTCCTGATGCTGGTGTCTGGTTGGGATTTAGTTATGCGTGCTTGTTCATTTTGTTGCGTTTCTCTTCTCATTGTCTCATACATCTAATTATTGTATTGCTTGTTTTGGATTACTCTCTTGACTGTCGTTTCCGGTGTCCTTTGCTTTTTTTTTGCTGCTCTTCGACGAATACCAACTTTCAAATGAGGTCGTCGTTCACTAGCGTTTGTATTGTGTATAATAGAACGATGAAAATAGACAGTCATTGAACTCGCATTTCAAAGGTTATACGCAGAAAAATCCGTTTTACGAATTAAGCATCTTACCAATTTTTTCTGCTCCCTCCTTAACAAACCGAGAAGGGAGAGAAATATCTAGACATCCAAAAAGAATAATTGAGAAGAATTTGACAATACCACCAAAAAAGACATTTAAAAAGACATTTGAAAAGACTACCATAAAAGACTACTAAAAGACGGATTGACAAGGCCGCATAAGCGGCCGACTATTCTTGTCTTCTTAGGTTGAATGATGTGTAGATAGTACCTTCCTCTAAAATGCCACAGGAATACTTACATATGTACATATCCATGGATGTTACTATATGTACAGATTTCGCCGATGAGGCTCAAAGTCACCTTAGTCTTGCTGTAGCGCTTATTAGTTCACGGCTCACCAGCACGATCAATGGTTGGATGCTGGTTATTGTGTCACAGGAATTCATGAAACACGCTTCAAACATAGCCAGACCACCAAACGAGGAAATAACTCACGACAACTTCAAACTCCTTACAGAAGACCGCGATATACTCACTCCTGAGCTATGGGTGAATCTAATGGAGCGTGAAGACCTTGACAACCTCCAACTGCTGTTGGTTCGAGATAGGAAAGGCTTACATGAGTCAGACGACTCTAGTGTTGAGAACAGCACAGGGGGAACGCACCGGAGTAACCAGAGAGTATTCAAACATGGAAGCAATATCATAGGCAAGGTCGTGAACGATGTACAGAATGTCATTCCATCTAAGCATTACATTATCGATTCCTCTTCGGAAACCGAAGATTCTGGGGCCGAAGGGGCAGATCAAGTGCAACGAAAAACGACAGAGAAGCTCGTCAGAGCAAAGAGTTCATTTAGTTCGGGAGCAGGAGGCGATTCAAAGTACGAGGCACCCAACTTTCGAACAGCCGGGAGCCAACGAGAACGAGGCGTTCATTTCGCTGACGACATCCAAGTTTGTGGAAGCAAGGGACAACATCGAGAGCGCGGGTTCCCTCAGCCCTCCGCCGCCTGCTAGTGCGCCGTCGATCATTCATCCATTCTTCAAATGGAATGTGGTTTCATATAGCACTAGTCGTGTAAGTGATGGTCAATCACATGTCAAGGTGTATCATCTCTTGAATCAAGTCGACAAAGCCATGGCAAGGAAGCGGCAGAGGATTCATAGATACCTCTATCGGCGCGGGTTCGAATGCACGTTGCAAGAACTCGAGCGTCGACATCCTTATCTGACAAGTACTCGATCAAACGACGTATCAAATCATATATCCGAGATGAAGAAACACAGACTTGATGGGACTAGGGGACGTCCTGATGGTGCTAAGAGTGAAAGATTCCATACCATACTCGAGGAGGATCACGATATGGACGCCATACGTCCTTCACTTGAATGGGAAAACATGGTGAAGAATAATCTTCGTCCGCTTTTCGACGTATTTAAAGCTGTTGCCCAAACCTTTGTTCAAGCGGATATGGAAGTCGTACATAGGTGTTGGAAGAAGCTTTGGGGTTATATGGATCGAATATTGAGCGTAGGCAATCTCATCATTACCTGGAGCCGCGTTGATGCCCGCAACTACTAACATGAGTGATACAGTGCATCGAGATTTATTACAAGTTGTCGCATGAATCTGCAGAATATTTTTTCAACAGCAAAATGATAAGCAGCTTTGCCTTCGGCGATGTGTTATGGACCTTCAGCTCTCTGTCCAATATTCTGGCAATGGCGAAATTGGCCAGGACATTACAAGCAGACTGCCTTTCCTATCCAGCAGTGGCCTATTTTTAGGCTTGGTATAATCCACTACATACTGACATGTGACATGAGATTTATTGCCTATTCTTGTATGAGATGAGAAAATATAATGATCGAATCCAAGCAATGATTCTACCAGTCGGCAACTTTATCCAGCTAGTTGATCACGTTGCTATACTCACTAACAAAAGTCAATAAAGCATAGGTTTGAATGAGGAATAATGTCTCATATAAAAGCCAATTGAATTCGAGTTTATTGAACCCCTCGTGTTGACCCTCGTATTCATGTGATGTTGGGAGAGCAGCGACCGCGCTAGAGATAGAAAGTCTGGGGTACTGGCGAACGGTCTGAGCTTGAAACATCACTATCAAATGGTGTAGATGGCTTCGTATCAAGTCATCTGGTCGTTTGTTCCAAGGTTTGCTCGAAATTTGATGCTTTAGGCATTTTCGTGTCTTGTGTGGTATGTATATAAAGACCGATAAAGGTCTTTACTTCCAAATTTACTGAATATACTCTTGAATCAACCGGCCACCCTTTGTTCTCGTGAGACTAAGACCTAAATATCTAAGTCAGGAAGATGCATATCTATAAGGCTCTTGTTCTTGTCCTCGCTCACCTCGCCTTGAGCCGTACGTATTTCAACCAACGCCTACATTCAATCCCAACCTACTAACCACATCTTCCTCCAAAACAGAAGCAGCAGCTTGTCCAGCAGGAGGATGTGGCAGTGCTCCCGCTTGCGTCCTTACCGAAACATGCACAACAGCAACCTTTGTCTCGCCCTCGACAACGACTATCACAACCTGTGTCCCAACACCCACTTGCGCGGGAGTCTACTGTAAGAATTGAGAGACCACATCTAAACACAGCAAATGCTGTAACGTACCTCACTCTAACTAATCCTAGCGTCCTGTGAGTTTGGCACGCCGAACAACCAATGCTGCTCGGGCTACTGTGCTGCTAACAAATGCCGATCGACGGATGATGATTGGCCGCTTTGTAGTGAAGATAATGGTCCCTGCGTTGTCGATCAACACTGCTGTTATGGGAATTCCTGCATAAATGGGATTTGTAGCCGGACTTGATGATGCAGGATCGTGATATATCAGAATGCTTACAGCAAGTGTACTCGGAATCAATCAATGACTTCAATGTTTATATTGAACTAAGGCCAGACAGTTTATTTTGGGCTGCATGACTGTGTCAAGGGATTGAATGCCTAACTTATGACACACGTAATATATTTATGGATTTGTCTAGAGAAGCATAACCACGTATGTTCTCACATAGCCAACAATTGCTCAGCCCGCTCAGTAAACGCCTTCATAGCAGTCCGCCACAACTCCGGCCCAACACTAATTCTCGCAACGCCCAACTCCCGAATCTCCTTTACGCCCAGAAATCCCTCTCTCAAATTCATCTTCACATTAACCATGCCATCCAGGGCATCAACCAATCTCCTCACCTCCGCACTCGAAACACCCCTCCCACTAGGTCCGCCCCAAACAAAAACTGTAGTAGCCCCAGCCTCCAAAAACGCCCTCCCGCGCGCAATAGCCTCCTCAACAGTCCCATTCTCCGTTAGCAACACATCGGTCCTAGCATTAACCACGAAATCGGGAACCCCGGCCTCCCTCGCCGCCTGAACAGCAACCCGAACCCGCGCCGCAGACTCATCCACCGACCACAGCACGCCAGTCGCGTCCATATCTTCGAGATTACAACCAACAGCGCCTAGCGCGATGACCTGCCTAATGGTATCTGCCAGTTCGGATGCATCACCGTGTCCATCTTGCACGTCGACGGTGAGTGGTTTGGTAGGGTCGATAGCACGGACGGATGCGGCGATGGCGGCTATCGCGGTCAGGTTTTGGGTTTTTGTTAGGGCGTTATCGTCGACGCCGATCGTTGCGGCGATCGCATAGGACGCTGTTGCGATGGCGGGTGCTGTTGGTAGTGAGGCGATTATGGAGGCTGTTGCGGCATCGTAGACGTTTGTTAGGATTAGGGGTTTGCCGGGTTGATGGAGGGTGCGGAAGTGTTTGGCGATGTCGTTTTGGGTTGGCATTTTGGGATGATTTTGTGTATAGGATTTGGACATTGGATATCTGGTATTAGGGATTCGTAGATTAATTCTTCTAAATATATATACGGAGTACTTTAATGCATTATCAACTTTGAACTTTGAAGATGTTGAGTCATTGGATACGAGGTTATAGAAACGATGACGGAGGGGATTTTCGGAGCGGTTCTGCACGGATCTACGCAGATCGAAGAGCAAGGCAGACAATGGGGATTATTATTTCCCCTTGTCTTAGACTAGACAGTTGGAGAATAAGCCGAATGGCGCAAGGGATCCACGGTATTCCCCTCTCCAGCTTATGAAGAATTACACTTGAGACCATGCAGGTCATTACTCGGCACTGCTTACGGAGAACTCTCAATGTAACTTGATCTGATTCAGGTTTGCCACATAATGTATTTGATTGATCGGGATCGACTTGACTTGACCAGTCCAGCACCCAAGATGGGGGCGAAACTGCAAAGGTACAGAAAGAGTAAAAATAAAATAAAATAAAAAGGGCGTAATACAATATACACCCCGGAGCCTGATGGCTTGCTCTCCATTGCTCCATTGGGATGCATAATGGACCTTCCATGCAGCTGTGAAACCGAAGATCCAATAAGCAAGAGGAACTACGCCAGGTGGAATTTACCCTACACCCTGGAGATGTCATAGACCTCTCTGTTGATTCACCGTACAACAGAACACTTAAGTCATGTCATGTTTCAAGGTTAGAAGGCTAAAATACTTTGTAATCAAAATAGGAGCCCGATAACATGTGGTACGAGGAATTGGCCCCGTTTCTCGCTAGCCTATATCAAAAGGAGTAAGAGTCCGTAGCAAGTCCACTAGTCCGATGTAGGGCGAAACATTGAACGGTAACACACCTGAACTGGGTTCTTTCGGGTTGGATATCCGTGCCTGGGTGCATATGAACGAGGGGCAAAGCTGTGGCATTCCTTAGGTATCTCAGTAAAATAAGTGAACTAGTGAGTACCCGGGTGATCGACTGTGAATGGAATGTTTTTCCCAGGGTTTTCGTTTCAGATGTTCTTTTTATAAACCAAAGCATTAGACCAGGTCATTCAGTGTTCTCATTCAGAGTTCTCTTTCAGCAACAAATACATAGTCACCTTTAATCTATATCGAAGTCAAATAAACCCGACCGCACCCGCTTCGGTAAACAAGACTGGACTCGGGAAGCCCCGTTGCTGATGGAGTATCGCTTTTTTCTCCTCACGGTATTTGTCTGTGTATTTGTATTGTATTTGTATCCGAGTCTAGATTCTGTGCGGTTGTCGGCTGCGCTTAGTTACGTATGCTGTAGGTCTATCCATGGATGTATATTTTAGGTACATAGTTTGGGGTGTGTACGGCGTTACAATTATCAGGTTTCGGGGAACAAAGGAGTGAAAAAGAAAGAAAAAAAAAGGGAAAAAGAAAAGTGACATGGACAATATGTAACTTTACAAATAACCAGGACTTGATTAGAACAAAAGGCCCTGAGACAGAATGACTTTCAATACGGGGACGATACTGATGTATCACGGTTAACTTCAGGAAGAGAAGGTCTCCAGGGCTACTATGATGAATATACGGACAAATAGATCACCAATTCAGGATTATATCCATGGGATTTCTATTCAATATCTCTTAAATATCATACTTATAAGAATATTGGGAGTACTCATGTACTTATAGGAGGTCAATACCTTGAAAATTACTATTAATTAAAAAAAGAAAAAGAAAATACCCATCGGGAATCCCCTGTAATTTTACAAGGAATCGCCGTCAGCTCTCCCCACTCTCCGACGCTTCGCCTTGCTCTGCCTTCTGCCTTTCTCCTCTTTCTTCTCTCTCACTTCTCTGTACCATTTGCATTTTACATTCTGCATTGCTTTCTCTATATTCATATTTCCGCCGATCTTATGGCGTATGGTTTTACCTCACTCCCTCGTGCAGTTGGCCGCCTGACCTGCAGCTCTCACGCTGCCATCCGACCCTGCTCACAATCTCGAATCCCTCTCTCTTCCTCCCTCCGACCTTGACCTCTCCTCAACTCCCATAATGTCGACCGGTTTGAATATTCCCCAGACCGGGCTGTCTCTCCACCTCGGAGATCAGTCCGGTGATCTTTCTGTCAAGCCAAATCAGATCATGCGGTTGAATTTGGTGCAGAGCACCCTCGATGATCTGATTCAGAGCCTACGGAAGGATCAACCGGCTCGAGTCCGGCTGGGAAAACACCCTTCACTTCACTATGGGGGCAAATCTCAAATGTTCCATGCGTATCCCGAAACACACCGATCTGAGATCTACCATAGCTCATCCGATAAAGAGACACTGTATTTCACAGGGGTTTTAAGTCATAGTCTCGAGGTTGAAAAGGCTAAAAATGCTACCGCGGCCACCGATCAGGCGCTGGCAGATTTAGAAGAAAAATTAAATGCTCATGAGAGAGGAAAGGAGTCGAAGAAGACTCACATAATCTCACATCCGGATGAGTTAAAGGCTCTGCGAGGCAGCAAGTCAGGCTACAAAGGTCCCACCACCAAAATCGAACTTGAGAAAGATCGTTTCCTCAAAACTGCTGCCAATCGTTCTCTCACTGCAAGTCCTATCTTGGGTGCTCCCAAGTCTCCCTCTCTCGCAATGACTCCAACATCTGCTCCAATGATGGAGAACAAAGATCGTGCGAGGCTTGAAGCCCTCAAGGTTCCCTTCATTCACCTTCTCGCCGTCCGTGCCGTATCGGCCAAGTTTCTTGCTCGCCAAACCCGCACCACTGTCGAAGACTGCATCGCCCTCGGCGAGAAATTCGGCGTTTTGAACCGAATCAACCCCGAGAAATACAACCTCAAGGACAAGGTTTACAAGGATCTTGATTTGTTTGGCTTCAATTACACCGAGGAGGACCGAAAGGAAGCCATTGAGAATTCAATTTCTGCCTTCGATCGCATGCGCATCTCTCGATCCGACAAACTTTGGCAAACACTTCTTCCAAAGGCTGAACGAGGCAAGGGAAAGTGCCTTTCGCGTTTGAACCTTCGTACTGGCCCGCCCCAGAAACCTGCCGCCCCAATCGCCAAAGCCAACGGGGAGGACTCGGGCAAGGACAATGAGACCGACCGCGCCACAAATGGATCCACGCCTGCTACCAAGACTACTTCGACCTCGCAAAAGGCTCGCGACAAGGACCCAACCAAGCGACCCGCCAAAACCAAGAATACCAACAGCACCCTGACCGGACGGATTACGAAGAAGACTGGTGGGAAGGCCCCGGCCAAAGTGGACAGCAAGATCAAGTCCGCGGAATTCGTCCACAGTTCAGATGAAGATGACGATACCGATATGCTTAATATTCCCCCTCCTGCGCCTGCTCCCGCCCCTGCTTCCGCGCCTGCACCAAAGCAGCAACCGAAGGAACACAAGCGGACTCCATCCAATTCGAAGCCCCCAGCACCGAAAATCAAGGCACCGGCCAAGCCTCGCACCACCGAGACTGCTCCTGCTCCTGCTCCCAAGACTAAACCTGAGGTATCAAAGCCTAAGCTTGAACCATCCAAACCAGTCACCAAGGTTACATCTTCCAAGCGTCCTCCCTCTCGACCCTCTACTTCACCGCAGAAGCCGTCTCCGCTTGGCTCCTCTCCTCCCGCCAATGTTTCCGATGCTACCAGTAGCAACCGCAGCCGAGCTGACAGTCAGAACCAATCCTCTGGTTCATCCTCGTCTTCGCCTCTCATCTCTCAGCTGGCCAAATCCACCAAGGTAGGCCGTGCAGCCCCTGCTGCTACCAAACTTGCCAAAGCTACTCCCCAGACCAACGGTATCGCGAAGGCTACCCCGGCTACCCCGGCTACCACCAACCCATTGAAGCGCAAGGCCGAGTCTGATCAATTGTCCGTGCCCCAGGCAGGACGTCCTACTGGAAACTTGGAAGCCAAGCGGCGCCGAGCGGTCAGCTCCTCCAGCGGTGGCAGCACCGGCAGTGCATCTCCACCAATGAGCTACGAGATTCTGAGACAGCAGCTGCGGGAGAAGTCTCAGAAATTCAAGAACTTTTACACCAAGTACCGCAACTTGCATGACTCCCTTGCAGCACTCTCCAACCCGCCCCAGGTCGACCTCGACAAGCTGCAAAAGCAGCACATTCATCTGCAGCGCATGAAGAAGGAAATCTGGGAGGAAGATAGGCAGCTTCGTGATGGCCTTCACTCGTAATTTAATTTCGTTATTCTCTTTTATCCCATCTGCATGGTGACCATGTCGCACTCGAAAGAGTGCCAAATGAACCAACAGCCCGGCGTTTTTATGTTTATCTGTCATATTGTTCATTTTTACCATAGCAATTCATATTCATATAACCAATTTTCTTGGTTTCCATGTTCTAGAGTAGCACTTGCTTTAGGATAGTTATGTCACCAATCAACACAAACAAATAGTCGAGAACCACATTGTGCTCTGAAACCAATGAAATCTCACAATCAACGAAATGTCAATAACTCAGTCTCATTTCATTTTGTGGTCAATAAGCAATGGAACCAGATTCCGGTCGATCTTCACTTTTACCCCAGATCGACCAAAACGCCATATGCCATCTGCTAGTCCCAATGGGGTATGGTGGGCCCTGTCTCATTGGGCGGTGTAACACGTGGCAGTGTCACGGGATTGGTGAATCAGCCTGCACGTGACTGCAAGAGTAGACGTCATTTGGTCGCTCAATGAACTATTCCTAGTTAGGCTTAGCCTCGAGGCCATTCGAACTTGCTGGTTGGGAGCATCATACATAGCAATTGTTACATCCACGGCCAGGTATTTCTTCTATGCTGCAAAGTGCCAGCAAATAACCACCCAAAGGCATACTCAAGCGCCTATTCTAAGCTCGCTTCACAATGACTCCCCCGGCCCGAGGACGGGGGACTAGCCAGCGCAGCCCAACCGTCTTGGTGGGATTGACTATCAAATCAACAGTGCAAAGTAAGATCAACTAACACATATCCTCAATACAGGTCACAGATTCCCGAGACCTGCAACAGCCCCAAACACCCCGACGACGCCGCTCGCCCGCAACCCGATTCATCACCGTCGACAACGTCCTCCAATACGCCTCCGACGTCCCTTCAATGCAGCAGCGCGGCCCACCGGCAATCTCACGGTCACGCCGTCTTGCCTCTGCAGCTGGAGGCTTAATAACCAGCTCAGGCATCAGCAGTTCAAGTGCAGTGACAGGATCCGGCGGCACGATGAGCCGACTCGCCGCGCAACCGCGACTTCCGCCTCGAACGACGAAAGTCAGTGAGAAGCTGGTTCTCCTGCCTGACACCGGCGAGCTGGAGGAGGGCGAAACCGAAGAAGACTCCGATGACTCCGATGGTGCGGACCTCGTGGACGAGGAGCTTGTCGCGCGTCTAGCCAAGGAGAAAAATATCGACCCAGAAAGGATTAGACATCAATTGCTTGTGTCGAAGCGGCTTGGAGGTGATTTCGGCATCGATAATGATCTTGCCCCCCTGCTGGCTGAGGAAGAAGTGTTGAAGAAGCGCCGTGTTGCGCCTGAGCGCGCGAAGAGTTATGCTGAGCGGTTGCCGAAGGCGCGGCGGACGGAGAAGCTTGCGCGTGTCACGGCGTACTGTACGGCTCAGGCGTATAAGATGGGGTCGCTTGCTGCTTTTGTTAAGGAGCAGCATGGTGGGCGGACGAAGCTTTATGATGATTGTCTCTACACCGCGTATCATCTCCCTCTTTTGCCGGGCCATGAGGGATATCGTCTGCGGAGTAGCCCTGTGATAAAATACCCCGGTGGAAAGTCCCTGTTGGATGAGGAGATTGAACGGAATGAACTTCGTGATCATCATGATGAATACATCCTTGAGACGGAGGAGCATTCGGTTGGTGGACACAATCGTCCAGAGGATGAGCACCATTTTGAAGCATCGCCGCGACAGCCTGAAGGTCATGATCCCCGGGAGGAAAATCGGGAGGGATTCTTGAATCGCATAACTGAGGAAGTTCGTGGCCACCCCAATGACCATGAGCATGCTGCCAGCTCCGGTGAAGGTGTCGATGGGTTGCAGCATATCCCGCCCCTCCCGCAACCAGACAGCAATGAAGTAACTGGGCAATCTTCGCCTGAACCTGCACTCCGTCGCCGAAGACATAGCACGGACGACAGCCATGCTTTGATTCGAGACCGTCCCTCTCTGCCATCTCCTACGCCCTCGGCTTCAACACCGCAAGCTCCGGCTCGGACGTTATACAATGTTGCTGAGATGTTCGTTTTCAGTTACGGTGTCGTCGTCTTCTGGAACTTCACCGAGCGACAGGAGAAAGACCTGCTGGCAGATCTGGCGTTTGCGACATCATCTGCAACTGGTATCCCTACTCCTCTGGCAACGATGCCTCTTGACGAGGAAGACTTTGAGACAGAGGAGTTCCATTTCGAGTATTCGACTGAAATCTCGCGTCCGCGAGTCTACAACGATATGATCACTCTTCGCAGTGGCGACCACATGATCAAGCTCGCTATTAGTCATGGTATTTCACAGAGCACCAAACTGTGCTTCTTCGAGGAAGTCATGGCCCGCCAGATGGCGGATGCCAAAGACGTTCCCAGACGTCTTGCGGTTTCAGGCCAATTGGGCATGAAGCGTGAAGAGGTCTTCCGGATCCTGGGTCGATTGTTTAAGAGTCGTGTTGAGGTCAACCTTTGTAAGTTCCCCATCCCCTCTATGGGTCATCTTGCACGTTGTGTTGCGGAGAAGAGACTTTGTTCCATACTAACATTTACTACCAGCATCTAATATGCTCGACGTCCCCAACTTCTTCTGGGAGAGCGAGCCAACCCTTTACCCACTCTATATCGCCGTGCGCGAGTATTTGGAGATCAAACCACGTATCCAGGTTCTCAACGAGAGATGCCGCGTATTCCTTGATCTTGCGGAGATCTTGTCCGACTCGATTGCCGACAACCGCACTTCCCGTATGTCTTGACCTTCTCTCTTCGCTCCCTAGCCTCTCTAACTGACCCCATTCTAGACCAAACTTGGATCATCATTGTCCTCATCATCATTTCAATCGTCGTTACAACCTTTGAAGTCTTCCTCCGCTTCGCCCTTCTCAATGAAAGCCAGGGTCCCACTGGTACACCTGCCAGTATTTTAGCCCGTGTCCTGGGTCGATCTGTTACCCCTTCTCCATCCCCAGAGTGGTACCCGTACTCTGCCGCCAACGCGCCGCCAGGCTGTATCTGTCCCTCTCTCGGTACTGCGGGCGCTGGCTCGGATATGGGCGTCAGTGGAATGATGGGATACTAATTCATTTGACTTTCTAAAGGGTATTATGGCGCAATTGGTGTTAGGGAAGGGTTCACTGGACAAATTTTTCTCTTCGGTTGCATATTACCTCGAAACTGACAGATTCTTAATACGTGTTGACTTTTTAAAATTGTGAAATTGTTCCTCTCCCTCCCATTTTAGCAACAATACGTACACTTCACATTCCTAATCTTAACACACTACTCTAAATGCCTAAAAATCCAGTCGACCCCCGTTATTGGCCCCTTCACGCCCACCACATGACGCTAGATGCCTCTTTATAGCCTGCTTTGGGGTTGGGTGGGGATGGACCGCGAAACATGGTGACTGTTATTGGGAAGGATGGGATGGGGAGTTAGTGGGTGCAGATTATTACGAGGGAGGAGGTTTGGGGGAAGATTGGGAAGTGGACGAGGGATCAGGATGGACTACAATGAGTTTATAGAGTACTTTGATACTGGAAGAAGAAAAGGAAGAAGTGGAAGATGAATCCAAAATCCCCGTTAAGACGGACAGAGCCGAACCATGCTAAATATGAAACAGAGACATTAGATATCAGTACAAAAGGGCCGGGATTTCAAAGAGAAACCCAGGCCCGGTTTCTCTCACTCCCCAACATTCGTTTTATCGTATATCCTTCAAAATTTCTTTTCTAGGTGATTTTAAATTTAACCGGTAACCTTGAAGATGGACTCGGCGAGTCTCTCGACGTTTCCGGTGGTGATACCAGCGACGGAGATACGGCCGTCCTTGGTAGCGTAGACGGAGTGCTAGAAAAAATTGTTAGGAATCAGACTGGAGAAAGTAATGCGGGTATAAATCTTACCTCCTTGGCAAGGGAGTCCATCTGCTCGGGCTTCAGGCCAGTGTAGGCGAACATACCGATCTAATATCATGTCAGTTGTTTGGATTATGAAGAATCGGGTTTTTGGATCTCACCTGGCTGGTGATGTGGGACCAGTCGTGCTTGCTGCCGAGCTTCTCGAGGTTGGTGCGGAGGAGAGAGCGCATCTCGATGATGCGGCTAGCCATGCCCTCGACCTCACCGAGCCACTGCTTGTTAAGAGCAGGGTCGTTCATGATGGTGGAGGCGATGCGGGCACCGTGGACGGGAGGGTTAGAGTAGAAGGGACGGATGAGGATCTTGATCTGCGAATCAACACGCTTCTTCTCCTCGGCGTTCTCGCAAACGAGGGAGAAAGCACCGACGCGCTCGCCGTACAGACCCATGTTCTTGGCGAAACTCTGGCAAAGAGCGATATTGTGGCCCTCCTTGACGAAGTGACGGGGAGCAAAGGCATCCTGGTCGGCGTTACCGCTGGCAAAGCCCTGGTAGGCCATGTCGAAGAAGGCGAAGTGACCCTTCTGCTTCATGACATCGCTGATCTGGCGCCACTGGGCCTGGGTAGGGTCGACACCGGTGGGGTTGTGAGCGCAAGCGTGGAGCAGGATGATGCTGCCCTCGGGGGCGGCCTTGATATCGGCAATCAAACCCTCGAAGTCGAGGCCAATGGTGTCCTTGTTGTAGTAGCTGTACTGGGCGACCTCGAGACCGGAGTCGGAGAAGACAGCCTTGTGGTTAGCCCAGCTGGGGTTGGGGAGGTAGATCTTCTTCGCGCCGGGGTAGAACTGCTTGAGGAAAGCACCGCCAATGCGCAGGGCACCGGTACCGGAGATGGTCTGGGTGATAACGAGGCGGTTGTCCTTGATGGCGGAGGAGTCGGCGCCGTAGGCGAGCTCGGCGGCGGCAGTGGTGAAAGCGGGAATACCGGTGATGCCAGCGTACTCCTTGTCCAAGCGCGATGCGACGACCTTGTCCTCAGCGGTGCGGACGGAGGGAAGGACGTAAGGCTTGCCCTTGTCGTCACCTGAAACAGCGATATAGCGCGTCAGCAATCCAAGATCCAA